TTGGTCAGCACCCATAAGCCAACCATAAAATATTCTTAGACACCTCATATTCTCCTTATCTGATTCAAATATCTCAGTATGTTCTACATGTTTTCCAACATATTTTATCAATATTTGACCTTCATTCATTGAAAAGAATCTTTATAGATGTATTAAATATTTCTTGGTAGAAAACAGGGAAAAAATAAGGAACTTCCAAAAGATATTTTTAGAGTATTCCAAGACAAATTATCTTGTCATGTGTCCAGTGTTACTGTCATGTGACCTCTAACTGGTCATCAGCACTAACAGGTCAACAAGCTATAGCACCACAACGATCCATGCTATGCATTTGAAATTTTGAACAGAGTTTGACAATGTACATGCGGCTGTGTGTGGAGATTTATTAGACAGAATGTTGAGCATGAGCTGAGATATAAGGGAGATAAGATGGTCACATTGTTGTTTTGCCAAGTTTGCCCATCAAAGCAAGTCTATCTAATTGATGACCATTTCTCTCCACAGTGCTAGCCTCTATTGACACAAATATTTTTGAGAGTTTACAGTGGAGGTATTGGTAACTTGCACACAAAATTTTGAATCAGATAAGGAGAATATGAGGTGTCTAAGAATATTTTATGGTTGGCTTATGGGTGCTGACCAATTCAGGGCAAACAGGTCAAGGCATTTTAACACTACCCAAAAGCATCTCTCCAGAATAAAACTTACAGATACAATATGTATATGTTTCCTCCTACTCACTTGCAAAATTTTATGTGCTCCCAATGAGAGGGAGGCGTGCAATCTGCAATTTAAGCTAAAGTGACCTGGTAATGGTCACACGACAGTATTGAAGAGAATATTTTAAATTTCTTTCCCAATATATCTGGCCAAGAAAAGGTGTAAAATCTATTGATTTCTACACAATTTATCTGCCATTTATATAAGCCAATGCCCACAGTGAATATATGGATGCCCTCCAAGCACCGGTGTTCTAAAGGATCCGGCAACTCGGCTGTGTAAATAACCGATGCCCAACTCCAAAATATAGAATTGCCAAAGCACAATTCTGAGAGGATATATTGTCAGAATAATTGCATGAATTCAATTGTAAAGTCCACTAGAATGTTTTTACTCACAAATACGACAGTTTGAACACCTAGAATTGACCTAGAAGGAAAAAGAGTAAAGGTCAGACCACTTGCAAGGATTGCTTTGAGTTTCGCACTTAACAACCACCTTACACTCTACCTGAATGGGTTGACCGCGGTTACATCACACAGCCCACACCAAACGAGAAGCCAACAGAGCAAAAGGTGCATGTTGCTACCTCTGGTATGACTCCCTTATCCTGCCTTTGACTAACAACATTGAAATCTTTAAGTCATAAACCTGAAATTCTAGCACGATGACGGAAAATACGACAATCCGAAGACTTAGAGTGAGTAGCCACTTCAATACTGTGGGATTACAGCTAACTGCATAATCGTAGACCACATCTGAAATTTCACTTTGCGCCTTTATCTGTGCGTAAACATCTGTTTTAGGCTGTGGCTACATATGTAAACCATGACGCCCATTCGCGTGCGCTGCCCATTGCTCCACGTTCTAGCACCATTTCGGTAGTTGCTCCAAATGCTCCAATCCCGCCCCGCACGTCATAAGGGTGGAGCGGTTGGAACCTGCGAACTTGGAAGGGTGTTCTACCTAATACGGTTGTTTGTACAAATAAAGGCACACAAAGTAAAATTTAGATATGGTCATCAGCAAATCAGGGGAAATACCCTGAGCCATCATAAGGTCCAAAATCGATCACAATCCACCACAATCATCACAATTTACAATAAGATTTCAATCCCCCTCACAACGTCTAATGAGGCCTCATCATCGCTGCGTTTTTAGGCAATCTCTCACAATTTAGAGCAAGATTTTACAATCTTGTGCTATCATAAATTCTTTTGCGACGTTAAGATCTGTTTTGATTGCTTATGAGGGATTCTGGACTGTTCAGACATTCATTCCTTTCAATTTTATGGTTCGTAGAATTGAAACATATGTATTGTGTTACAAAATAAAACAAGGACTAATGACCACGAACAACTGTAAATGCCTGCATACCTAAAGAGAATGGATAGAACTCAAATGCAGAACGCACGGTCTCCTTTGTGCGACAAAGTTGTTCGCCCAAAGTCACGGCTTGATCGGCCATAGGGAGGGAGAAGACCTGGGAGGCAAGCTGTTGTCTTTCGCAAAGTCGAGTGGTGGTTGGTTGATGTCGATGGCAACGATGACGGAGATTGGGCGATGGCATGAGCGAGAAGGTAGATGGTGCCAACACTGACGACAAGGTCGGTTTGACCAGCAGTAAGGTTCCCGCAGCGTGTACCATGGATGAGAACAGACACGGCCTCTGAGAGTGTGGCCTGCTCAAATGTGATTTATTAGGAGATGGACTTTCGGTCAGGGAAGGGCAGGACTCACGAGAGGGTAAGGCCAGACTAGACCGGCACATACACCAACTCACCGATGTGGTCAACATCGGTGAGCAGGTGTATGCGCAGACTTGGGGAGCGATAGTAGGTGGTGGTTACAAGGTTGGGAACAAGTTCGGATTTGCAAACTTCAACATGAGTCACATGTCACAATATTCCGAACTCAGCCGAACCTACCCAATGACTCCATCTCTGCTCGGAAAGTCAAAAATCTACTGACAACAGCTGACAACTGGAGTGGTATCTCTGTGATACAGTGATACTGTCGAGAAGTGTTCCCGTTCATGAACACCTGACAAGTGCTATGGTTTGACCAATTCTTCCTCTTCACACTGTCTCATAATTAAACATAAGAGTTACATATATGGTTTTATCCAACCACAAGACTAAGATACTCTCCATCCATCCTCACAGGGAGCACACAAGGATTACAATGGATTGTGAGGGATTGTGATCTGCCATCATCTGAGTAACTAGAGTTTGACATTGTTCCAATGTCAACAAAAATCTTGCTTGTATTTCACACAAGATAAGAATAAAAAATCTTATACTGCTGAGTACTGACTCCTACTGGCGCAAAGCCGGCGATGACATAAAAATGAAATGAAATTTCTTCAGAGTAAGTTTGTGATCTTTTATTGGCTGCTCGTCGCCGAACCGCTTGCGCGGTTCGCTCCTCGCAGCCATTGGAAGTAGTAGTCGAAAACCTGGCACGACAACAAATAGTGTTTGAAAGTCCGGTTCGGTCCGGTTTTTTGATGCCCAGTGGCGTTAACCGTAACCGTAACCGGTCTGCCTTTTCCCCAGAAGTCAAAAGACCAGACCGGACCGCAAAAAGACCGCAGACCGCGGTTTTTTGCGGTCCATAGACCGGTTTCGGTCTGCATCGGTTTTAACCGGTTTATGACCGGTCTTTAGGCCAATATTTTAAAATTATGAATCTGTAAATTTATTAACATCTCTAATAGCTTCAAAACGAGCCCAAGAACGTTAAATTCCATTAGGAATTGGTGCTTCTATAAAATAAGTCTGGTACATCTATTATTCCCAAAAGTAATTTACATTTTAATTCATATCTCTCTCGTTTTTTTACCAAATCGTACGTTCTTGGGTGCGTTTTAAAGGGTATTTAAGGGGCTACAAAAGACCGGTCCAAACCGGTCAAGACCGGTTCACGTTAACCGGTCTTTTTGCGGTCTTTACATTTCAAAAATAAAAGACCATAACCGCAGGTCCGGTCTTTTGCGGTCTTGGTCCGGTCTGGTTACGGTCTTTTTCCAGTCACGAGACCGGACTTCCAAACACTAACAACAAATGCAAAAGGGTTATAGTACTGTTACCAGTAAGTAGTATTGTATAAGTTGCAGAGTTTGAGCAGATTTGTTGAAGACAGTAAGTAAATTGAGTAACTTTCTCAGAAATCTCTGAGTCTCCGCAACTGGCGATGGCGAATTTGCTTCGTTAGGTTTGGCAGCAGTCTAGAGCAGTCTCTAATGTTTCGGTGTCAATAAAAGGGATATATGACCTTGGGGGCCAGTACAATGAATTTGTATGGTTAGGTTTGGCAGTAGTCTAGAGCGGTCTCTAACGTTTCGGCATCAATAAAAGGGATATATGACCTTGGGGGCCAGCAGGACGGATTACATAATTATGACCGTGGTAATAGACCTTGCCAAGCAAGGTAATTTCTCGTGAGAAATAAAAGGTCATAACGGAACTTCACCGATTCGCTGATGGTCTACGGTTATGCAGTTAGCTGTAAATCTCTTCATTTTCTGCCTCTAGCCACACTCCAAGTGCCGTCGCGAAACAGATGTCAAAGACGGCTTCAGTGCCTGAAGTAACACACAGTGCCAACATTGGTCCTATCTCCTTTTGTCATTCCAGCATCTGACATTTACTTCAGTGACCCTTCTAAACATGAATACTGAGCTTACCAGTAGTGATTGTCATGGCTTTAGTGGCCCAAACCCATACCCGCAGTGAGGGTTAAACGTTACTGGGTTAGCCGTAGGTATTCCCGAACACCCAGATCAGGCATCGGCAGGTGCGCACAACAACACAAACCCATTCCGAGTCTGTGGGCTATATCAAGGTCAACGCCGAATGGATTCCAACATCATTCTCATTCTGTTCAGAAAGTGCTCAGGTGTTCTCATTCTTCCCCATTGGTATGTTCTATCTATGCTTGCTGACTCGTACTTATACAAAGTTTTCAGCCCCCATTGCAGGCGTATCAGGAGTATTCAGTTCCTTCCACCACCGTGCATCATCGCCTACCACGACGACATGACATGCCACAGGAAACTTCAAGACATTCAACAACGCCACGCGAAGCAAACCAACGACGGTGGTGACGACGGTTTAGTGAGGGACGGTGAGCGAAGGCAACGACGTGAATTCCAGATGACTGGACAAGAGCCGTTGCAACGTATCCACAACTCTATAGACACTGTTGCCGCTCACGTAGCTGTCTAACCAAGTCACCACGATCCCCTGGCCTGCAAGAAACGATGTCTACGCCAACAAAACAACATTTATGGGAGAAGGACGACTTATGTTCACAACCACCACCAGAACCACGACAATGCCCACCCACTGTCACCGACGACGATAGACTGGCTTCCAGGCTCTGCAACTCAAGCGCGTTCCAGCCAATGTTAGGCAGAACATGCATCTTTGACTTCATTTTTTCTATCACGCTAATTAGCTTGTCAATAGCTTCAACGGCATAGCGGGGGCATTGGGGGACACCGATACCCAGAAATCGATACATCGTGTTGTTGCATTGAGGCTTGGAAGGGGAGTCTGAATAAAAGGCATAAGTGCTTCTTCATGCTTAGGGTCTTGAAAACGAAATGCTACAGTAGAGAGATGATAAAATGGTGTATTTCTGGAACGTGGTACAGAAGTGACATGAGAAGCATAGAGAATGGCCAAGTCCCAAAGGATAGAGCGCGAGCGCTCAACGTGCTCGGTGGCGCAAGGAGCGAGGATAGGACCCCTGAAAGTACTCTCACATGCCTGATCCAGATCCGGATAGAAATTGGCGAAAATTTTGGAAATGCCTTAGGTCTGTCCGGATAGAAATTTCGCTATTTTGGCGAAATGCCAGAGGCAGTTTTCCGGATAGGAATTGGTGAGGCTGAGCAACCCTGAGCCGATGTCCGGATAGAAATATACACTATAGAAATTTGACCTCGAAAAAGGCAGTGCGCGCTCACTGCTGCCGCCAACTTATTTATTGGTATATACTTTAATATCTTTCTTTCCCATTCTTTCCCCCTGTTCTCCGTTCTTTCGGACAATCCTTCTGTGATATATATATTTTCTCGCATCAAATTGGCTCTCAGTTCTGCGTGGACTCATTGCCTCGATCATCTCCCGCCGTCTGCCTTCTTGTGCACCCTCATACTCCAAAAATCACGCAAAATGGCCTCAAAATATCTACAGATGATTGGAAGCTGTTCAAAGAAATCAAGGACAACAGCAAGATGGTAAGTTTACAGACCTTGAAAGCTTCCAACTGTGGAAGATGAAGAATAGCTTGTTTATCTTCAAATTTCTGCATGTATAATCCATATACTATATTCACTTATGTATATTTTACTTTTTCCTGATGTACGGGCCTCCAGAGAATGCCTAA